TGTCATAACAGCAAAAATGTCCAAATTTGTAACATGTCTAAATTTTAATCTAACCGTTGGATATTTTTAAAATTTAGAATATTATTAATACATATTAGAAGTGATGTGTGAGCTTTGAAATTACTTTAATCAGAGGCCAGACGGTGAATTGGTGCCTCCCAAAACTTTTCCTCAGAGGGCTATCATGACAGTAGATTAATGCTGTCATGATAGCAATTAAATGCCTTGTTTGCCTAGTTTGCTTCTATGCACTATACTGTAATTCTTCAGACTTTTCTTAAAAAAATTAATTTAAATGTATTTTGTTATTGTATAGATTGTTTGGTGTTTCAAATAGTGTGTTTTCTAAGTTAGTTTTAAGATTAACTCCTTAACCATACTTTGTTTGTTTGAATTGTATGATTTTTTGATAACACTTGGGGTAAATGTTACAAGATGGGTTGAGCTGATTGAGCCAAAGGCAGGAGCAAGATTCAAGAGTATGAACAAAAAGGATTGGCTCAAATGGAAATTAAGGAATGAGATTAGGAAAGATTTCACCAAACGCATTCCTTGGGATGTCTTATTTAGGTATGTTTACTGGGAGATTTGGCACTCAATACAAACAAGCCTTGTTAGATGATGAGATGAGCTCAAGACTTTCCATGCCCCAAAAAGTCATTATGGATCTCAATATTCTAAAGCATTCTTACCTAAAAGGGAAGCTAATGACACACATTCATGATAATTGGGTGATTTTGTGCTATAATAATGTGAGGCTTCATGTTGATAGTTCTTTTAAAGATGGTATTGGTAAGTGTGGTGGTATAATTAAAGATAGTTAGGCATATTGGATCCATGGTTTCAATACCCCTATGCCATCACTAAAGGTCATTTATGGTCTTAATTTATGTTGGGATAAGAATTTGCAAGGGTCAAGTCTCTATTGACTATGTGGAGGCTATTAACTTGATAACTCAATGTGGCCATATTCAACATCCCTTCAGTGACATCATCCACCAAGTTAGATCACTTTTGTGGAGGGATTGGAATGTTAGTTTGAATTTCATATATAAGGAGGCTGATAGTCGTACCCACATATCAGCTACTTAGGCCCATGATAGCTTTGAATATTTTGTAACCTTTAATCAATTCGCATCTTATTGTATCAAGGTGGTAGAATATGAAAGAAGAATGTTTGAGAACTTGCCTAAAATTAAATTTGAGTGCAAAAAGACCTAACTACCCCTAATGCTTTTAAAAAAAATCAACCTCTATCATTGTTGTTGGCACCAACCAACAAACCACCACCAAGCTCACCACAACGATATAAAGACACTAAGCCACAATGACTTTTTAATTATATAGTGCAAAATATGTTATATGTTATTAACTTAATTTTTCAATTTTCAAATCACTTACTTGTTAAGATCTTAAATCAACTTTTTATTTCATTAACATTTACAGAAGGTGTCATTATAATCTAAAATTTATTTGCTAAAAGCTAGACAGAACTTGTCATTTTAATAAAATTTACTTTTAAATATGCACAGTATCTTTATAGGATGAAGTGTAATTTTTAAAATGTTAAGTGAACTTGTCCTTTTAGTAAAATATTCATCAATTTCGTAAGAGAATTTTGTTAACAAGATTCACTAGTCACAATTGTGTCAATATAATATGAAGTGTACTTATCAAATGTTGAAGCAAACATGACATTTAACTAATGTTTACTTGTCACCTAAGTTTCCAAACCATTTATTTGTTTAGAGTTTAAAGCTAATTTGTCATTTTTAAAACCTTTACTTGTTAATTTATTATGGAGTAGTTGTCAATAAAGTTTAATATGAAAAATGTGTTTTTATAACTTGAAGTATGCTCCCTATAATCCTTATTATAAGATACATTCTAGAATGATTTTTTGTCCTCAATATAAGGCACATGAAGGGTTATTTATTACCATTTTTCAATTTTGCCCTTGTTCTTGATTTAATTTTATGGCTCATCGTACACTGTGTTTCTCTCTTTCTATTTTTAATAGAAGTAAAGTTAAAAATTTCTTTTATTTTAAGACATTTTTAATGAGTTAATTATTATTCTTTAATTTTAGTGAAGTAGTTGAAAACACTTTATAACCATAGGCATACTTGTTAGAATACCAATTGAACATGCCATTTTTAGTAACGCATACATGTCAATTTACTAAGGAAACTTATCAACAATGTTTAATGGGTAAAATATCTCTTATAATCTAAAATTTACTCGTCAAAATGGTAAGCGAACTTATTATTCTAGTAAAATTTACCTATCAATTCTCTAAGGTGAACTTATTGATAATGTTCAATGTGCAAGTAAACATTAGTAAATTGAATGACAAGTTTGGTTAAGCTTTTGACAAGTAAACCTCATATCATATAAAGATACCTTGTGCATGTTAAACCTTGTTAATAAGTTCCTTTTAATAAATTGATATGCAAACCTTAATGAAATATGATTATTGTGTTACTCTTGTCTATGTTCCTTTAAATTTTTATGATTTTTAAGGGAAAATGATAGAAAAATTCCTTTAAAACATGCAAATATCAATTAGACATCACGAAATGTAATAATTTTTGTTAAGTTTTTGGGGACCTTTTTGACATTAATTTTTTTGTAAAATGATTGTAAATTCCCGAATTTAAAATAAAAAATAATTAATATAGTCTCCCATTTTCACACCATTTTTGCATGAAGGTCTAACCCGAGACCCATTTTTGCCCTTTTTGTCTGTTCTGCCTTGCGGAATAGCATCAATGTTGCCATCACTGTCACGCTTTTACTCAATTGGAATATCTTAATATCCCTTTTGAGATTGGAATCAATCTCATCATGCCATTTCCTTACGCTCCATTGCGTCTGCGAGCCAAATGAGCCCGTTTGAAAAATGGGCTCATCCAACTTGGCCCACAAAACAGATGGGCTGTATGGGCTATTTTGCAAGTTAAGCATTTTTAATCCCCACTAAGGAGCATGGTTTTTATTTATTGAATTTCCATAATTATAGAATCTTTAACTGTAACTAATATTGTTAGAGGGTCTTAAAATGTCATTTTCTCTCATTAATATATGAAGGGCGGGAAAAAAAATTAATATAAGAAGGCTGATCACGCACGCCCACACACGTTGATAGGAAACACGCACGCGAACATATATTATACTCTCTTCGTTTGAAATTATAAAAAAATTTTAAAAAATTTTTTGTTTTTTTTATCAAAAAAAGTTTTTGTTTTAAAATATAAGATATTTTAAAAAGATTAAAATTTTATTAAATATATTTAATTCTAATATTATCATTTCTTTTTTATAATTAATTTATGTCCTTTTTTTTAATATATTAAATGATGAATACTTTTAGAAGTTTACACCCTCAATTTTTTTATTTATAAAAGAAACTATTAATTTTAGCTTTTTTTATATAAGTAAAATTATAATTTTTAATAGGAACTTATTGCAAACTTCATAAATTATCTCTTATAATTTTATCGTTCATAGTCATATCGTTCATAGTCATAGAAAATGATTAATGAATGATTGATTAACATAATTAATAAAGGGTATTATATTTCAATTCTTTTATTTTGAGACACAATTAATATAGTTAATGATTTTCTTAAACTATACTACCTTTGTTTTTTATTGTTAGAAAAACTATCACTTTTGACTTATATTTTTTTTATAAGCAAAATCACCTATTCGAATAAGCATTTATTACACATTTTCTAAATATCCTTCATTTATATTAATAAAAAATAATTAATGCATGCTTATGTTGATTAACACAAGACATTTTAATTCACTTATTTTATTTTCAAACATAATTATTATAGTTAACTAACTTTATTAAACTGTATAATATAATTTTTTTCTCTTATATATAAAAATAGAGGGAGTACGATAATTCTCCGACAGATGAAAACGGAGGGAATATATTTTTGTTTTAAAAAGATAAAATTATTAAATATGTTTAATAAATTTATTAATATATAAAATTTTATCTAAAAGTATATTCTAATTTGATGTGGAGGGAGTATAAAATTTAGAATAAATGAGCAAAAATACCCATAAAGTGATTAGTCAGGGGTATCCAGTATCCTAAAGTAAGAAAAAGAATAAAAATACCCAAATAATTACATGATTGGGTTCAAAAGTGATCAGACTATTAACTTTAACCTAATATTGTTAACTTTAACTATTAAATACTAATTGTGCATACTACATGTCAGCTTTTGCTGACATAGACTAATGAAGGGGCAAAAATACTTAAGAAATCGTCAGCCAAGAGTAATAATATCCATAATGTTATCAAAGTTGGTGCATAAATGATTAATCCATCAAATCCCTTAAATGTTGACTGTTTAGTTAACATCTAAGCAAAAATTGACTATTTTTTTTTGCTGATGTAGATAAAATATATTCTCAAATGAATTTTTACGAATGTTGATCGATCATCATATAAATACCCATAATTAGTAACCAATCCGTCAAAATTCATGCCACATGATTTTTTTTCATGACCACATATCTCACCCTTTTCCTTCCTCCCATTCCACTTATTTTTTTTTTCCGTGTTAGCAAAAAAATGATCAACTTCTACTTAAATATCAATTAAATGGTCAACATTTAAAGGATTTGATAGATTGATCACTGTTGCACTAAGATAACATTATGGCTATCTTTACTCTCGATTGATAACTTTGTAAGTATTTTTACTCCTTTATTAATCCATGTCAATAAAGACTGATAAGTGACATATATAATTAGCATTTAATGATTAAAATTAATAATTTAATTACTTTTATATTCAATTATATACGTTATAGATAGTTTTATTTTTTTTCTCACCTTAAAATATTGAGTGTTTTTGATTAATTATTTTATAAGTATATTTGTTCTTTTACCTTAAAATTTAATATAAGTGGGGTTTCGTGAATGCGGGTGCGGCTCGCCAAATAAGGGACCGTTTGGTCTTGCCGAATGATCATTGTCTTATTATTACACAAAACCAGCTTCCTTGTCCATCCTGCGCCTCTATAAGCCACCTTGCTGGTCAAACAATCAAGCTCACTCCATAATTCTTCGATCAGCCATGGCTTGTGCAAGCTTCGCCAAGCTCAATGCTTTGTCTTCCCAATGGATCGGCCAGAAGTCATTCTCTATTCGCCAAGGATCGTCGTCGTCGACTCGCAGGGTCTCCGTCTCGATCCGCGCCTCCGCTTATTCCGACGAACTTGTCCAAACCGCTGTTAGTTCTTGCTTTTCCGTCTGCTACTACATAAAATTCTGGCTTGATCATGCCCTTTTTTCTTCTGGGCTCTCTTTTTTCTGATCCTGGCTCAATCGTTGTCGTTGAATACATTTGTATATATTTGTCTGTGATTTTATTTAATTGTGTCTTTCTTCTGTATTGTAATCGTAGATAAATGAAGATGTTTCTTTCAAGAGTAACATACTAACATGCATTTCTTTCCTTCATTTGAAAGTTAAAAAATCGAGTCTTTCTCATTTTCTGTGGCATTTTGAGTTGAAACCTTATGTTAAGCTCCCGGCATATCCAAAAGAGGAAACCATTTCTTCGTGCATCCATTCCCCCTTTTAAAAATGCGTTCTCGTTTCTGTAACTGCTTTCTTAAAGTTATTGTTACTTGACTTGGTTGTAGAATGGAGGTTGACATCTATGTTATAGCTGGACCCACTTGATCAAAATAGTTGATTGAAGTCTGAACGTTTTTCAACTTTTTATTGTAGTCTACTAAATTCAATTTAATTTTTCTGTAAATGGTTATATGATTTTCCTTATTGATGCTGGTCATGTATTCTAAATAACATGGAGAGATTCTTTAATTCTCTTGGCAGATGGGTTGAAATCTTTATCTCTTTGAATGTAGATCATAGTCTAATTGTTATATTGTAACAACATTTGGAAATGTTCAACCACCATGAGTCACCTAAATTTAATTTCTTACTTCATGGCATAGAAATCTATTGCATCGCCTGGCCGCGGAATCCTTGCTATTGATGAGTCAAATGCAACATGTGGGAAGAGGTTAGCATCCATTGGATTGGACAATACTGAGGCCAACCGCCAGGCTTATAGACAACTTTTACTGACCACACCTGGCCTTGGAGAGTACATCTCTGGTGCCATTCTTTTTGAAGAAACCCTTTACCAGTCAACAACAGACGGAAAGAAGTTTGTGGATTGCCTTTGTGAGGAAAAGATTGTACCTGGCATCAAAGTTGACAAGGTCTGCTGTCCAAGAGTATCCTGGAATAAATCTTGTTGGAATATCTGTCATGGGAATTCTGTCTCATTGATTATGCAGCTTCGTATTCATATTTCTACTTTGTACTTTTAGGGTTTGGTCCCATTACCAGGATCAAACAATGAATCATGGTGCCAAGGTTTAGATGGATTGGCTTCAAGATCTTCTGAATACTACAAGCAGGGTGCAAGATTTGCAAAATGGTCAGTCATTCTTATTCCCTTTAACATCTAAGCGCCCTAAAGTTTGTAAACAGTCTTCAAAGTTTACAAGACTTAATTGGTGGTAGATCTTTCAAATATGAGTTCAAATCGTTGTTTCTTCTGTGATACACAGGAGGACAGTTGTTAGCATTCCATGCGGTCCTTCTGCATTAGCTGTTAAGGAAGCTGCATGGGGACTTGCACGTTATGCTGCTATCTCTCAGGTATTAATCCACCCATGAATATATTTTATAAGAATTAGCTTGTTATTACTCAAATGCACTTACTTAGTCCATTTAAATGGTCCCCTGGACCATTGCCCCTTGGAATGAGGGCTTCTCTTTCAGTTGAGACGAGTGGCAGTTTGTGGTGTACGAAAAGGGTACAGATTTTCGGCAGATATTCATTTTTTGCATAGGTTGTGTGAATTTGAAGTCATTCAAGATTTTGATGGAAACTATCATCTTTTATATAGTCTTACAAGCCTCTTTTAACTCTTGACACTAGTTACCTGCTACAAGGTTTTGCTGATATTCCAACCTACAATCTTAATTTGAGCAATGCAGTAGAAAGTAAGTTATAACATAACGAGGGGAAAAATACTATTTCAGTTTGTATAACATGTCGCTATATTACATTGTTGGACACTCTGTTTCATTGCAGGACAATGGCCTTGTTCCAATTGTAGAGCCTGAAATTCTTCTTGATGGGGACCACCCAATTGAGAGAACACTGGAGGTGGCAGAAAAGGTCTGGGCTGAGGTGTTCTATTACTTGGCTGAAAACAATGTTATTTTTGAAGGAATTTTGCTCAAACCAAGTATGGTGACACCTGGTGCTGAGCACAAGGAAAAGGCTTGTCCGGAGACCATTGCTAAGCATACACTCGCAATGCTTAAAAGAAGAGTCCCCCCTGCAGTTCCTGGAATCATGGTACAACTACTGAAGTTAATTTTAAGGAAAAGCAAAAATGATATACCATAATCTGTTCCTAAGATTATAGGAGTTCAGAATTTAAAGGTTGTTTTTTGGCCACTAGAATTCAAAGGTTTCAAATTCCGTGGATCATTGTGACAAGAAAATCATTATGAACACTGCTGTAACCCATTTTAACGTTAAGTGAAAGATTTAAACCATTGAAACTGTAAAGCAAAATCTTGAAATGTGTTCTGATTTTCTTTGCAGTTTCTGTCTGGTGGACAATCTGAAGTGGAGGCAACACTAAATCTTAATGCAATGAACCAAAGTCCCAACCCATGGCATGTCTCCTTCTCATATGCACGTGCACTTCAGAACACCGTGCTTAAGACATGGCAAGGGCGTCCTGAAAACGTGGAAGCTGCTCAGAAGGCTCTCCTGGTGCGTGCAAAAGCAAACTCCTTGGCTCAGCTTGGAAGATACTCTGCTGAGGGTGAAAGTGAGGAAGCCAAGAAAGGAATGTTTATTAAGGGCTATACTTACTAGAAGTTTAAGGTATACTGCACTTTTGGTCTCACTGCATCCTATCTGTCAATTATTTTTGCTCTACTATGTTAGCAGTAAATGCTAAAGAAACGTAGGTGTATTGTATTTTTGTACTGGGTTTTCCTTTTCCTTTTCCTTTTTTATTTCAACCTTTCTGGCAACTGAGTTGAATAAAATTTGTGAGGAGGCTTTTCCAGCTTTGCTGGTGTAATGGCCAATTGGCCATTGATGCTTATTTTAAATCAAAGGGATAAAAGGAAAGATTAGGAAGCAAGGTGCGTTGATTTTGTTATGCATAAAGTAATTGAACGAAGAGTTACACTCGAAGAGACTGAGCAATTTCATTTGATACACCGAAAAGTTTTCATCCCATTAAACGAAAATTCAGAGAAAATGTTGAAAAGTTCAACATACTAAAGAGGACTAATTGTTTGTGCGCGTGACTGCACCAATACAGGAAGGTATGTGGGGAAATTTAAAAATAGGTTATAATAGCTTATAAGATAACTAATTTTATGTTTATAATTGATTTTGACATACACAGGATATTTTTAAGTAAACCATGATTTTGGGTTAATAATTATTTGATTTTAGCATGCAATAGTGATGGAGGAAAATTGAAAAATAGGTTACAATAGCTTATAAGATAACCATAATTTTGGATTTATAATTGATTTTGACATGTATAGAAGTATTTGAATATTTTTTAAAAAATATATGCTTGTGTTAATAGTTATTTGATTTTAGCATGTAATAGTGATGAAAGGAAATTGAAAAATAAGTTATAATAGCTTATGAAATAACAATAATTTTGGGTTCATAGTTAATTTTGACATGTATAGAGATGTTTGGATTTAAAAAAAAAAATCATGATTTTGGGTTGATAATTAATTGATTTTAGCATGTAATAGATATGCTTAGATGTTTTTATAAAATTATTTTAATTTCATAATTGATTTTGGCATATAATAGAGTTATTTAGATATATTTTCACAAAATTATAGTTTTACTTAATTTTTAATTCTGATATTAAATTATGCTTAAAATTAATTTTATAAATCAATTCTGTGCGGTTGGGCTTGTTTGTTTCATCTTTTTTTTTTAAATGAAAAATTACTTATTTTTGGAAAAAAAAATTATTTCATGAGTTTTTTATGTATTTGTTTAAATTTTTTAAAATAATCATAATCTAGAAAAAGTAAATATATGATTAGTTTAAGAAGCCACTACTTTGAATAGTTTTTAAAAATAATCAAATGCGATGGAAGAGATAATGATTTAAAAATGTGAGATACACAAATATTATAAAATTTTAAAATAATTTAATAAAAATAATTTTTAAAAATAAAAATTAATAAAGATATCATAAAATTCAAATGGAACAAATTAATAATCATCTTTTTATTATTGAATTTTTTGATAATCAATTTTATCCGACAAATATCCAAATTTTTTTTACGTAAAAAAAGTTTAGGTGAGTTTAAGTTTAGGGAACTCATTTGAGTCAATACATGCTTTCAAGATTCAATAAACACTTATATTTACACATTACCCAACAATAACCTCATATCGACAATGGAATTTAATCATATGATCTTATAAGTTATGAGTTAAATCTTTATTAATTGGACTAATTTTATTGGTAGTATTTAAATTTATAATGGTGTATGATTTTTTTTTTTTTGCCATAACAAAGGAATTTTGAAGGTTTGTTCTCTAACATGAAAAGACATACTTTTCAATCTCAAACAGAGATGCTATTCGACCATTCAATAACTGACCTTGCAAGTTGTTTGATAAAGCTCTAACATGTGATCTTCGTTTCGATCCCCCGTCTTCTCATTCATGTAAAGTGGGAAGATCAGAATAACATTTTCCAGAATTTTCTCTTAAATTCAAACCCATAGCTGAAATAATAGATGTTCTTTATCCTACTCAAACTAGCATTTATCCTTCTTTTTCTATCCACACAAGTGGTCAAAAAGATGAAAGGTGGGCTCTTATATGTTAAATATGCTTGGCATATATGTAAATCCAATGCTAGTCGTTTATGCTTAGAAAAAGGGTAATTAAAGGCGCATTTGGTTTATCTTGGAGGGAATTAAATTTCGTTAGAATCTTAAACTCACCAAAATTCACATATATTCATGTTCTTTAAAAACTTTGTTGTTCATCCAACATAATTTCTATGAGAATAATCCCTCTCTAAAATCATTAACAAAATTAAAGATTTTGTTATAAGAGACTAGATTATCACATTTGATCATGTTTTTTATAGAAGCGAATGGATTGCTGATCTTCTTACTCATCAAGCATCTAAAGACAACTTTAATATTATTATCTACAACGGGCCCTCAAGATGCAAAGACCAAATAATTTTTAATATGACTTGACTTTTTGTTCCGACCCCACCTAGTGGGATAAAGGCTTGTTGTTGTTGTTGTTGACGACTTGACTTTTTGTTCTTTACTCAGTTTTTATGTGTCCCTATATTCAAAAAAACAAAGGCCTATTTGGTTTTGAAAATGACTTCTAGTTATAAGAGTTTACTTTGTCAAAATAAAAGTCCGTTTGTGGAATGAGAAGAACATTTTGCCATTGCAAATGTGATTTGGTTCAAATATATAGGAGTGTGTGTGTTAACACAGGTTGTCAAAATGAAAAAATTACTTTTCAAAAGTACTTCTAGCAGTTTCAAAAGTGGTAACAAAACAAACACTATAACAAGTTGTCAATTTATTTGTTTGGATTAAAGGGTATTTTTATTCCTTAATTATTATTTTTTTTAACATTTGATATCCTAAATTTAATTTATAATGTGATTTTCTTCTACAACATTTAAAGAGTACATTTGGCATTCTACTGATAAAAAAAAACCAATTTTGACTGTTAGTTTATTTAAAAAATTATCAAAAAATTATTAAAAAATTTCAGAAAATCACAAATAAATACCTTCTAAAAAGATTTCAAGATTTTTTATATTTTTAAATTAACTAATTTTCAACATTAACTTTTTTAAAAGCAAAATATCCCATGCACCTTTACAAATATTGAAAAAAAAAAACAAATGCATCAAAAATAACTTAACGATATCTTACTTCCCTGAAGGAATAATTGAGTGGCCAAAAAGTCTTTTGAATCTAATCATTTTGCCGCTCAAACTCATATATAAGCACCGTTAACACGCGAGATATTGCACATCTAAACCCCAAATGAAGACTTGGAACCACAAGAAGCCAAGATATATTGCTTTCCAATGTTCAGCGCCATGAATGTGATTTGTTAATTCTAAATTTTATACTCAATTTTTATTCTCAACCTTTGCCAGACTGTCATTTATTACAATTTCATCTTCCATTGAACCTTCCATTAGTCGAAAAACCAATCCTCTTCAATTTCCACCCGCGTTTCGTTCCGAAGGAGGGGTCAAAAAAAAACACAGAATTACAGACAAATCCTAGGAAAGGAATTTAATGACTAATAGACCCCTTTTCCATGCAAACATATAATATTTACACGTCATCATGTGACACATTGTACCAGTTATAATTAAATGCCTTATCTAGGACTTTACTGTAATTCTACCAAAAACAGAAGGCCTTCTATATTCATATAGACACTGGCTTTGAAGATACCAAAAATCAGAAACTATACAAAGAACCTTGAAGATCAAGAAGATGCAGGAACCCAAGAAGCAACATTAATCCCACATCCCTATGAATGCTATGAACTACATCTTCCATTCGTCAGATTCCACCAGAAACCAGCTATTTTCTCACTGAAGAAGCTGAACATGCAAATGCATCATCCACTCAAAAGCTTTAGCTGGTTGTCTCTTGCTTCACTTTTCCTGATGATCCATATTTTATCTTGATCAAGAGTAAATATCCTCCAACTCCCAGTTAATTCAGCTCATATTGTGCCTTGACAGGATATAGTTGTCAACAGATTCAAATTCGCTCAAACCTCCAGGTTTATACTGATGTAACAATGCCACCAAATCATTCGTTCCCTTCGTCTGGTTGAGTGTTTTAGGAACAGTTACAATTCAAGCCTCAATTCAGGTTCACCGTTACCTTCCTAGCTGTTATAGATGATTGCTTAATTATGATCCTTCTTGCTTTTCTTCAGCAACATCGATACATGATTGATGCACTCATTACCTGTCTGCCTTGATCCAACCAGCCACTGAAGAGCCTCAGCTGCAGCATCCTTTTCTGCACTCTTCTTATTGTTGCAAGGTTGACCCAATATACGCATTCCATTAAACTCGACTGTAGCTTGAAATTGATTGTTCTTCAATTGCATAGTCTTGTACGTGGGAGCAGCATATCCTGCCCTTGTAAGCAATGTTTGAAGCTGACTTTTAGAATTATCACCCCCAGGTCCACTTTCAGTCCTTGAACCCAATGCTGGTTGTAAGGGCACTAAAGACAGCTTTGACGGTTTCAAGACCTGATGATTGAATACAAATCTGCCTTCGCAATGATCCTCCGAAATCAGCAACCGCACAGCAGAAAGGAGCTCGTGAAATGAGTGTATGTCCATCCTTGGACACAGTAGCTGCCATGTCCCAGAGTGTAAATTTTTTTTTTTTTGGAAGTAACTTTTACTTTTATTACCGCTTATTGGTCCTAAAAAGACTACCAGAACAAAATGCTGCCACATGTACATTAAATATGTTCCAGAAGTTTTGCACCAACCTTGATTTGAATTAAACCATCAAGTTCTCTCCTTATAATCTGGTACATGTCAGCAACAGCAGGTCTCATGAAGAACTCTAAATATCCTCCTAACATTTTTAAGTGCCCATCCTGAGAGAAGAAAGATGGTACTCAAGTGTAAACAAAATTTTAAAATAGCCATATAGGAAGATGAACATTTTATAGTGTAAACATGAGGACTAAATAATATTCCACAAACATAGAAACTTACAGTTTCTTCCTTCAAGATGCCTCCACCAAAAAGAAGCAACACTGAATCAGACACAGCAGTTGAATCACGGAGGAAAACTGAGTTCACTTTAATTTTCTCATTAAAAACTAGCCATGGATACGGAATTTTGCTTTCCCGAGCATTTACTGAGTTCTAGGCAGATGGGATGAATGTAAAGTTGAAAAGGAGAGGCAAAAGTCAAAAGAAAACACTAAAACCTCTATAAAGTATGCCATAATTATAACAAGCAGGGAATGATAAATTATAAAACTTGAATGAAGGAACTTACTGAATATAGTAGTACTTGACCATCCTCCATTGTTTTCAGCGAAAACGACTTCTCATTATGCTACAGATGAAATTAAATGGTAACCTTTTAATAGGTCTTCAAACATAAGTTTCTACTAGATGTCCAATACAAAAACAGAATTTTTGGCTTTAAGCAGAAAACTATTTCTCTGAGGCTTGGAGAAGACTCTGTATAATAAACATAAACTAGTCACACAATCAAACTAAGACATACCATAACAGAGCAAATTCCGGGATATAGGCCATAACAAATAACTGCTCGGATAAGATGCACATCATGGCTCCATGCGTTGCAGCTGGTCATGTTGCTATCAACTAATCCAACATCCTTAAGCAGGGAGAAAAACTCCTGGCGAAGAGCATCAATAGCTTTCATTGATTGTGCTGAAAGAAAATTTTTCCAGCAGTATTCATACTCAGCAAGGTCCATTTCAGCATCTTTCCAGCCCTCATAAGCCTTAACAAGAGTAAGGTGATCGCTATAATGACAGGAAAATTGAGATTTTGCGGCCTCTGCAAGCTGCAATCAAGACATTTGACATGTCAATCAATTTCAGTTCATAATGATAACATCAAACAATAAGTTGCAAAATAAAAATACCACAATATATTTTACTTAAATGCTCATATCCATATAACAATCATAACGTATTTAACTGGAACGGTATTCCATCTAATCATTTTTTCCATTCAGAAAGTATCAGAAAAGCAACGTGCCATAAAAAGCATCTTATACCATTGCTATCAAGTTCTCCAATAAAAATATGACGTACACAAAATTCTGTGAGAATCAATCATTTAATGATGAGCCAGAAATACCATGCAGTTACGTTCTTATGGGTGAACTTTATAACAAAGATGTAAAAAACTGTGCCTAAATTTTTCTCCTTTTGGTAATGAAACTTTCATCCAAAAGAAAAGAACCAAAAAAACAAAAAAAGGTAATGGAACCTTCTACCAAAATATAAATACACTAAGAAGTACTTTGGAAAATTTTGGGGAAAAAAAGGAGTGTAAATTGCCTATATTAGAGCTATACAAAATATACATGAGGGGAAACAACCGGTATAAGAACGTTCGAAGTGAAATAGAGAACTTTCCTACATGGATTAAACCACATCAAGAATCATCTTTGAGTTTTTATTTATTTAACCTGGTTCTAGATGTTGACTAAGTATGCTCAAAAGAAAATCCCCAAACGCACGCTTTTTACAGATGATATAATTCTTATTACGGAAACAAGAGAGAAGATTCACTACAAACTTGAATTATGAAGAAGAACCTTGGAGTTGAAGGATTTCAACCTGAGTAGGAGTAAGACAGTCATTGTAATTTTGGAGAAACGCTAAAGGAGTTACTTGTAATTGAAAAATACCCAATAAACTTAAAAGAAAATTTTATCAAATTGATATAAGACTACTTATATTATAAAGTAGTGAATGATAGACTTTAAAGGGGCAGCAAGAACATAAAATTAAAGTAGCAAAGATGAAAATGTTTGAGATGGATGTGTAGACATATATGAAAAAATAAAATCCAAAATAAGCATAGACGAGAAAAAGCAAGCGTAGCATCTACTGAGGGAAAAATGATAGAAAATTATTTGAGATTATTTTGATATGTACAGAGAAGGTTGTGAAAGGCACCAATAAAAAGAGTGAAACGGATAATCTTGAGCCCTCTTAAGACGGGTAGAGGAAGACCAATAGAAATTATTGAATGAACTTCTTAATTAACAATATTCCAAAAAATTTAGTTGATGATAAAGCACAATGACGTCATGCAATCTATACAGCGAACCCCATCTAATGAGATAAGGCTTCTTCTTATTATTTACACTAAAAAGAAAAAAAAGTAATGGAACCCAGTGGAGTTTTGTTAGCAAATGTATAAATAATGACAAGGTGGCAGCAGCACAAGCCTTCCAAGTAAGATGAAATATATACATAAGAGGGAAGCGCTGGAGTGCGGACCACAAACTCAAACAGTAAAGAGAAGAATGGTATAACAACAACAAAAAAGAAATAAACAAATAAAAAAAGAGAGAAAAATGATACAAACAGAAACATGAAATATAATCACAATGCAAAATGATAGAGAATAAAAAAGCACATGTGATGGAGACTTTATAACATAAGATACCAAGTCTCACATTGAGTAGTATGGGATGCTCAACAGAGTATTTACTATTTAAGTGGGTTGGTTCTTTAGCTTTTGAGGTAAGGTTTCTCATCCTACTTAAATACCCATCACTTGGCATTAGAACCTCGTTGTTGGCAGTTCCGAAGAAAGCTACCCATGGAGGGTTTTAATCAATAGATGCCCAAGTTAAGTTTCATAGAATGCAGCTGCCAGAACATCGGCTTTCCATGGGAGGCCAATTGATGGAGACTTGTTAGTATAAGACACCAAATCTCACATTGAGTAGTATGTAATGCTTACTAAGATATTTAAATAGATTGGTTCTCCCATCTAAACAACTAGCTTCCAGAGTAAGGCTCCCTACCCCACTTAAGTTCCCCATGAATATGTTGTTACTTCTCATTGTTTTCCACTCCGCACATATATTTCCTACATACATACATTCACACACAACTAAAAGAAAAGAACTGAGCAAAGAAGATTTTAAGACATTTTGAGTTTTATGGCAATTGAATTTGGTGTCTCAACAATTGAAAATAAAAAAAAGCCAAAATATTAGCTACGATGCATGATCATGAAAAATAGAGAGGAACTGAGGAACTGAAAAGGACAAAGTAAATTTCGATTGACCTTTCACAAAAAAGATTAGCTTTGGAATAATCACACCATCGTCTGAACCAAGATCAACTTACATCTTTTTTATCTAATGGTGTTAGAAAAGGATCTCTCACACTGAGGCCAGCAGCAATAGTTAACACGGGATCTAGACAATTGAAGATAGCACCTAATATTAGCATCTTGCCAAGTTTCGGTTCCATTGGAAGCATCGTCAAGTACCGGCCTGTCAAGGAAAGACCAAGTACTAGGCTCACACATTTTACAACAACTATATAAAAGCTGGAATTTCATCATTTGTAAGTGATCAACCTACCAAGATCAGTAAGATTTTCATTCTCATCCAAAGCCCCAATTACCTTCAAATATTCAATTGCATTTTGTACCTACGAATATATAATGATTTAATCAGAGTTTGACACGCAAATTTATATACAAATAATTTACAATAGAATAAAGAAAGACAAATTTATATACAACTAAAATACAAATAATTTATATACAAATTTTATATACAAATAATTGAATAAAGAAAGACATAAGTGAAATGTTGAAGCTAAAAATGTAACACTAAATGACAATCTACAAATTCATCCTTACGGCTAGTAACTCAGGAGATTGCAAAGCTCTAGACAAGAACTCAGATATACTTCCAAGTCTCAAACTTTTGATTTGTAAACAGAGAGATTGCAGAGGTGTCCTCAGAATTTCTGGCAACTGATACTCTGCAAAAGTATCATATACACATCTAGGATAGAGATGGAAACATTCTCCAGGTTGAACACGACCAGCTCTTCCTCTTCTCTAGAAAAATAAATTCAGGGGAAGAACCAACATATCAGAATCAAAGTTAAAGATCAAAAGGTTTCACAGCTTGTATTTAGGATGATGATTCACAGATAAGCATGCGTATAAATACTTTTATTAGGCCTTAAACAATAAAAGTTAATTTATAATAGAATAATCTGAAGCATACAAGGTACTATATTACCTTCAAAAAATTATCAATTTACAGTATATCGTCAATGAAACTTGAATATTGCCTCATATGTCTACATGATTCAATATTTTCATTCATGCCCAGGCTCTTGGTGAGGATGATTGATAAATGTAATGTGTCTCAAACTCCATTCAGTATATTCTGATGTGTATAGATTCCAGTTTACTGGTAGGACTATCAGCCACTCTTCTGCCAATGCTAACTTCTAGAATATAAAAGGGTTCGAGAGTAAATCTAGCATAGAATTGCAGAACTTATTTCATGCAAATATTGATATACACAGATCCAGAAAATTGGCAAATATATCCTAAAACTGAGTACAATGTCAATAGTCCAGCATTCACTGCATTGAGCCTGCTCAACTGTTAAAATTTGAGATGGAAGTTTGGATGTGATGGAGCGTAAGTGTTTCTGATTGAATTGAATGCATTATAAATATTGATTACCAACCATCAGATACATAATAAACTAGAAAATACACTTACTTGTTGAGCTGAAACCCTAGAGATCCAGGTGGGAAGCAAACAAGGTGTATTATTCAGCGCATCATATGATGTTTCTTTTGCCTTTCCACAGTCAATAACAAATACAACGTCATTTATTGTAATACTTGTTTCAGCAATATTGGTTGCTAGCACTATTTTCCTTACTCCATCTTCAGGCTCTTGAAAAATTAAGCTCTGCATATCAAAGAAGAAAAAAAAATCTAAGTATTATCAAATAAACAAGAAAGCAAAGCAAATGTTCCTTCAATGCCAGACAATAAAATCTTTCCAAAAAGAATTCAAACAGTGTGTGGCTTTGGGAACTTATAGTGAAATCTTTTAGTGGCATAAAGTTCCAACAAGAAATTGCTGCAGCAAACGGAGTTTTGGCTGGGGAAGGGGGGCTAATTGCAGACAAAATCGAATACAGCTAACTTAATCATCTTCAAAGCAAGGAATCATCAACAGGCACAACACTACCTGCTCTGAACTGGCCATTGATCCATGGCAAGTAAGCAACAAGACTCGACTTGGATCTCCTAATACAGGATTTGCTAGAAGCTTATCTTTGAGAGAGCTTATATCCTCCCATCCAGTCATAAAAACCAAAACAGCTCCAGGCCTTTCATTCTCACATACATTGCACAAGATATATTCTATGAGGTTAAAACCAATACAGTCAGGATTCCAACATGACAAAGATTCCCGTGTCTGTGGGCTGTAATCCTGAAAATCAGCAGCTCTTACTGCATCCTGGTAAAATTTTTCCAAAAGTTAATTAAAATAAAAAGATGCTGAAATTGATGTGCTCGAATCTGAAATTCTTGAATACCTCTACAGCAGAAGCAATTTGGCTTTTTCTTTTTCTTGGGGTCTGTTTGTTCAATTTCCACATCCGTTCTTGACCATAATCATCAATTTGATTGGAAGGGGTTAATCTGTAGCCCGTCATCTCCAGAATGTTCTCTAAGAAATAAGTTCTAACAGGGTATGTAAAGCCCTAAGAAAAGGGGTGAAAAAAAAAGGGGAGGGACAAGTTTCAGCTCTTGGAATCAAATTGCTAATCCTTAGAAACATCCAAATATAAAAGGACACATCTATAATCCCAAGCTCTCACTGCCATCCCCCTAACTTCTTTTCCCTCACCCGATAAAGAAAAATAAGGAAAACTAGAGTAACTTCCAGCATTATCGATATTAAAACAAAAGGCAGAAACTACTTGGAATTAACTACATAAAATCTTGAGCCATTTCATTCCAATTGTAATGACACTACCTGCTTCCATATCTCATCTGAATGTTTCAGAATGCAGGAAGTGACTAGAGAATTTAATCAACTCCTCCATTCAAGTCTCATGTTTTGTCAAATTATTAATATTTCTCCCTGATCCTGGAACAACAAAAAATATGATTATTCAACATCTAGTTGATGTGATGTACCGGAATATTTATAACTGGAGCTCCACCAAAGTAAGAGGAGAAGAGCTCTGCATCAAGGGTGGCACTCATCAAGACTAATCTCAGTTCTGGTCTGCGGGGAAGGAGATCTTTAAGAACAATGAGGAGAAAATCTGACACCAAAATTAAGAATGTGAACATATGCCTTTTTAAGTTCAGAAGTCAGAAACCAAAAACTCAGTCAAGTTCAGGATTCTACCTTCATTCATCCCGCGCTCATGAATTTCATCCACAATAACATGCGTCATACCTTTCAAGTTTCTATCAGCTAGCAACTTTCTTAATAAAATGCCTGTGGTGCAAAACAGAAGATGGGTATTCCTCCCTTTCATTCCCTCCAAGCGAACTTTATATCCAACCTGAGGAAGAAAGCCAACAAGAGAGAGACATTAAATTCCACCCCTCCCCCAAAAAAAAAAGAAAAAAAAATTCCAATCATAATTATAAATTATAAATAACTAAAAATGCAAATGGTTGAACAGTAAATAGCATTCAACATTTAATGTCAACGGCAGAGGAACTCACAGATTCACCCAATTTCTCTCCTCTCTCAAAGGCAACTCTTTCAGAAACAGACATGGCTGAAATGCGTCTTGGCTGTGTGCATATAACATTACAGAGAGCTCCACGGACAGAATCTATCTCAGATTCTAAAATGAATTGAGGAATTTGTGTTGTCTTGCCACAACCTGTTTCACCTGAGATGATGACAACCTGCAAATTATGACAAAAAAAACGAACAAATGAATTTTGACATTTCAAACTAAAGAAAAAAAACATTAAACTAAGATTAAGCACTGCTTTTAAATCATATAACTACAAGAAACCAGCAAACATGAATCAGAGTATTGGGCCGTGAAAAAACAAATAATAATAATAATAACATCACATGGCTTAGACATCCATCAAAACATAACCATGCTGCATTGGAGAATTGTCAAAATTGGTTAGTGAAGAAATGATTATTATTACAATGCAGCCCATTGCAACAGCATGAGAGTATTAATGGTGAGACAGGGCATGGGTGTCCAAAATGTCCATATCACGCATATTATATACTAAAACTAATAAAATACAGAATTTAGTTGTCTCTCATGTTAATTCATGCATTTCCAAACCAGAGCCAGAGTTAAGACAGTATTACAAGGGGGTCACTCACTAGTGATTGAACAACAACAAAACAAATTACTCAACAAACCTGATTACTTGATATAGCTGACAATATTGCTTCCTTCTCTTTATATGCAGGGAGACTTCTACGAAACTCCAGCATTGTCCTTCCTTCTGGAGATTCCTGAAATTAAAACATAATGTGAAGAACACTCAAGACTTTTATTTCCTTTCTTTTGAACGGCATTTTTATCATTGGCTATGCCAATTCAACTATATACAAACAAATAAAAGAGCCTCCAAAAACTATTATCTACAAGCTTGTGTACAGAAATTCCGATAACAACATTTAACAAGAGCAGACAGATCAGTAACATCTTAAAATCACCATAAACTAGTGCCAAGATTAAAGATAAAAGACTGAAAAGACAATGTAAATCACCAAATTAAAATTTGAAAAATTTCTGACGATAGCCTAGACTCTGTATTATAAAGCTAAAAAGGCATTATAATAATAATATATGCACAAAATCAATATCACAAAAAGGAAAATATATATTCTGTTACATTTTCAGGGAAGATAACCTGCCAATTTGTTTGTTGATCACGCATTTGTAAACTTCTTCTCCGGAGAATTTTCTCTACAACTGCCCTACTGGAAGCTTGAAGATCAGGTTGCTCAAAGAGCCCTTCATCGGTACCAAAATTACCACTACTTCTTGATCTCACAGATGACAAATCTGAAAAGCTTTCCTTCATCCCAGACTTTTTGGATAGATATTGTTTGAGATATGCATCAACTCTTTTCAACACATTAAGAGGCACACTCACCTGCCAATTCGTGAAAGCCTTACTTACAAGTCTCCAGTGAAGGAACAACTATAGAGAGAAGATGAAGTAACTTTTGTTTTTATATGATGGCAGTATTTAGACAAACATGAAAGTGGAAGCAGATCATAGAAAACAATAAATATACCTCCCTCTGTGGTCTTCGATCATCCAAATCATATCTGTAATTTGGCAGTGGGACCTTACTGAAGACAACAACTTTTGAATACATATGACTGCAATAAATAAATGCTATTAAGATTCCCACATTAAATAACACACTTATGGAACAAACATTAATATAGTCAGAAGACGAAGAAATCGAGAAATTAAAATGATACCTATACAATCCCATTCTGGTTGCCAAGGCTGCTAGTTGCTCAAAATCACGTCTATCTTTTTTCTCCCTTGAGATCAACTCTTGTCTACTCTTGTCATTTAAAAGCATGATAAATTTCTGCTTCCACTCATCAGTGTTATCATTGGGTGAAGCACTCTGAAAATCAAAATATAGCAGGAAATAAACGTCTTTGACATTTTAAACCACAAACTACCCCAACCCCCTCTCCCCAAGCTACTGGTTGGACTGCCTAAGGCAACAAAAAAGTGACAGCTTCAAATTTACCAGCACTAAGGAAAACTTCAGATATATTAATACCTAACTAGAAAAGAAACACAAAAGCTAGAAGAAAGTGAGCTTCAATCAATTAGCAAAATGCCCATCAATGTAACAAAGAGTAAAACATGGAACTCCGGTAAAAGTCATCTCCATTGCTATATCCACAACCACAATATCAACCAATAGGGGCATCATCAAGAAACAACAAAGTTAAATGAAGCATTTCATGACAGGAGTAATGCCAAATCCAACAACATATGAAAGAACTGAGAGGCATAAGCACCAATCTAGTGCAACATTCTCTAGATTTCTGGCGGCCGACTTCATATGATCAGGACTACCATTTTACGTTTTACTCTTCACCCAACAGGAAAACACATTATGAATTATCCACTCATCCCATTCATCGTCACATTTAGTGATGGACTGATGGTGGTTCCCCAATAGAAAAAAACTGAGTTGAGACCAAAACACCATAAAGCAGCTTACAATTCCAAATGCCACTGTCCACTAGCATCTCCATTAGAAACAAATCAACTCAACAACTAGCACACGGATATAAAAGGAAACCGGAGTTAACCCAGCAAAATAAAAAAGGAGGCAATTATCCAATCCAATACCCAAACTAATCACTTAAGTAATCTCACCGGTTGTGAAGACGTCTCCAATTCACGATCCGATCCTTCCTCGGAAATCCCATCATCATAAGCAGAAACACAGCGCGAATTCAACTTACATGGAGCTTGTTCCTGCAACTTGGTCTGCGAGTGAGGCAGAGTAGCAGTGGCACTAGCATTGATGCCTATAGGGTTTATAACTGCCCCTTCGGATCCATGGAGCTTGAAGTCCACCGGAGCAGACGAGATGTAACCGGCGGAGGTGACGACAGAGCGCAGACGTTGGTGAGGAGGAATGTAAACGGAGCCGTAGGAGGATGGCGGAGGCCGATCCTTCATCATGAGGACCGGACGACGATTTCTGTGTATGAGGGTTCCGATGTTCCCCCGAGTGAAAGATGAGTGCAGAGAAGGAGAATTAGACGAGATCATGCAAGTTAGTACGACGCCGTTTCAGGAGTATCAACGGGGTTGCAGGCTGCAGATGCAGTTGTATCAGGCTACTGTCAACAGTTGCAAGTCTCCCGACGAGGAGAGGACCACGGGGTTAACGTTATGGCTCACTCTCCAGTCTAGGCTGATATTCCTATTGTAGTATCGCGCGCCTGTGCAATATGATTGGATTCACCGATTCTCCAATCTCCGGAGACCCGCCAGATTTTTTGAATAATAATATCATGGGAGAATTTCATTTAGCCATCAACTTATTGTTAGGTAAAGGTGCAAACTTGGTTCTAAATTATTTTTTTAAAAGTATTTAATAACTTAAATTATGAGAAGGTGTAAAATAAATTTTGAATTTTAAAAAGTGGAGCATCCAATGTCTCCCATTAACCTTGACTGGACGGACGTTAGTTTTCCCTATGGTACATGGCCTCTCTCTTCTCTCTCTCATGTTCTTTTCTTCTGCTACTCATCCTTCATAACCGTTTACCTCCTCCCTCTTCCATCTGTCAACATTAACATTCAGGCTCCATTAATCCTAACAATGACCACAAATCTTCCATGCTCTCGTTTCCTTTATTGTTGACCATTGTGCAACTCCCTTCTACTCACCTTCAACCATCACCATCTACTAGAGTTCAAGTTCTTCTACCATCGTTTGCAATTGCATCTACAGATCCATTTGCCCTTGGTAAAAGAGGTGGCAAATGCAATAAATGGTTGAACAAGTCAAACCTAGTAAGCCACCTCCAAGGCAAAGCTAAGCAGGTTGGTGGGTGAGATGATGACTCCAAGAGATAAGAGAGAGAAATATACGATAGGTATTTTCAGAGAAGAAAGGGAGAGAATGAAGGTGACGTTATGTTTGGAAAGAGGGGTAAGGGAAGTAAGGTCGAGGAATCAAGGTTTTTGAATTGGTGAAGGAAGAGAGAGTAGGACAGGTGGTGGCTAATGATGCAGTCAATGAGGATGGTGGTAGAGGAAGTGGTGGCAGGGAGGAGAGAGAATGTGAAGAGTTGAAGAAAATACATTATATTACAGCAAATAATGAAATGATGAATTGTATGGTTAAACGAGATGCTGCATGCTCATAGCATGCAAATATTTTCTGATGAACTCATAGGCCAAACAAGTTCATAGGAAGACCTATCATTCTACCACATGAATTCAATCAATCTAGCTAGAACTCCACGTCTGTTATCTCTCTCGACAATACTATCTAGTTTATTGTCTTTGATAATTCTATCAGTTAGGATAGGTAATGGCCAGTGACAGAGTCAATAAGGATGGTGGTGGAGGAAGTGGTGGCAGAAAGGAGACAGAATGCGAAGTTGGTGATGGAGAGAGGTTGAGAGAGATGAGGAACAAGCTAATAGTCAAGAAGATGCTATGGAGTTTAGGTCGACGGTAAGGTTAGGCTTCGCTTGGGGTTGGTTGGGTAATGATGATGGCGTTGACTAATAGAGCTTTCAAAATTCAGAGAGAATGAATGAAGCAAGTGGGTCTCACAATATTAAAAGTAAACGGCTGTTAGTGAAAAATGGACAGAAGGCTATGGATGCACCGATTTTAATAGTTGATAATTTATTTTGCACCATCTTAAAGAAGAGGCTACCTAACGGTCCTCAAAAAATAGTTTGAGGCTAAATTTTTCAGCTTTACCCTTTGTTATTGGGTCTAAAACATTTTAAAAATGCACTGCAGGTTCAAGGTTCTTTAATATAATAAATTTTTAAATATCAATTATTAAAATGTCTTTGTTTTTCTTTATTTAAGAAAGAAAGTGTCTTTGTCACTAAAATCATTATAGTCTCTAAAACTCTTGTCACCATACAATAGTCAAATGTAGAGTCGAGAAGGCCAGGCTGCAGAGCCCTATTTAAATAAGGGTTTAAGCTTGAAACATAAAAGATTTTTAAAGTAATCGGGCTTCTAAGCTCGGCCCCAATGAGCCTTGAAAAAAGGGCTCAGGCTCGAACGACCTTCTAAGCCCTGTTCTTTTTTTTTCCTTCTATCTTACAATGCACCGTTTGGCAAATGTAGAAAAATCTTAAACATTCTACCATTCCAAGTCCTCTACTTCTCTTTGTCTCTTGACTCAACCTCTCCTTCTCAACTTCTCCTTTCCTCTAGTTGCCTTACATCTCCCTCCCATCACTCTCCTTGCCCTCTGGCTCTCTCTATCTATCGATTTGCCTCTTTCTCTCATCTCTTGAGTCAGCATCTCTCTCTTAACATTCCATTGCTTTGGCTTTTTACCTCTCTTACTCTCAAATAATTACTCTTTTAGCATAAACCTTTTTTTTAGGCCATGGATGTCTGAGATTTCAATTTGATACTTGCTTTTAAAATTTTGATTTGATTTGAAAATTTGAATCCCTCATCTTATTTTGCGAGGATTATGTCAATATGCCTCATATATTTTGTTTTTGAAACTTTGTTATAAATTATGATAGCATCAACTAACATATATTTAGACTTTTTAAATCTTTTATTTATTTTCTACATGATATAAGACCTTAATTTAATTTATGTTGAATTTTATAATTAAATTATAATGTTAAATATTATAATGTTGAATTAAATTATGTTTAGAAGAATAACATTAAACTATAATATTAATTTTTTATTTTTTTTGAAACCGATAGGACTAAGCCTTAAGATTCGATTAAAATTTGAAAAATTGAGCTTTAAAGCCTAAGCCCTTAAGGGCCAAGTCCACCTTTTTTTTCATCTCAAATATATCTAGGGGCCAAGGATGGATTTGAATCTTTGACCCCCTTGGTTCTCCAAAATTAAGAAAATCATTAAGCCCACAAGTACATTAATTTATATAGTGCAAAATTAATATTAATAATTAATTTTATATACACATACGTATATTATAACCTTGAATTCCAAACATTTTCATTGTCATTGTACATTACAGATTTCTTGTTGTTTATATTTGAATAATCATTTATAAATATTCGACCATGACTTATTCAAATATATAAGAATTGTCAATTTTTATAACTCAACTTATTTTATTTTTACAACTTCTTCCTTAAATATTGACAAGTTATCAAAATTATGTCAAATAAAAAACATATGTTATAAATTTATTTTCCTAGCATTTTGATGAATTTTTATTAATCATGAACGTCTTGTTGTTAAAATTTGAACAATCATTTGTAAACATTCAAACATAATTTGATCATACATAGAAAAAAGTTAATTTTTAAAACATGATTTATTATATTTTTTATAGCTTGTTCCTTCAATATTGACAAATTATTAATATTATGCTAAATAAAAAAATATATGTCATAAATTTATTTTTCAAGTATTTTCATGAATTTTTGTTAACCATAGACGCCTTGTTAATATCCGACAAATTACTTGTAACTATTCAAGCATGACTTGTTGGTATATAAAAAAATTTGTTAATTTTAAAAACCTAACTTGTTCAATTTTTTTACAACTCATTCCCTAAATATATTTGTTATAAATTTATTTTGCAAAAGCCTGTGAAAATTCTTAAGTTTTAAAAATTGACAACTTTTTTATATATAAAATAATTATGTTCAAATGTCTACAACAATTGTTTGGATATTAACAACAAGACGTCCATCATTGACAAATACCATGAAAAATAAATTTATACAATATATTTTTTATTTAACATAATATTGATAACTTGCATTAAAGGAACAAGTTGTAAAAAATAGAATAAGTTAGATTTTAAAAATTGACATTTTTTTATATATGAATAAGTCATATTTGAACATTTACAATTTATTATTCAAATATTAACAATAAAACATTCATGTTTGAAAAAAGAAAATAAAAATGGTTAGAAAATAAATTTATAATATATATAATATAGATAACTTGTCAAAATTGTAGGACCAAGTTGTAAAAAATTACAATAAGTTGAGTTTTAAAAATTGATAATTTTTTTATGTATGAACAAATCATGTTCAAATATTTACAAATAATTATTCGAATATTAACAACAATATATCCATAATTAACAAAGCCCATGAAAAATAAATTTATAACGTATTTTTTATTTAGCATGATATTTATAACTTGTCAATATCAAAAGATCAAGTTGTAAACAATAAAATAAATTGAGCTTTAAAAATTAATATTTTTTATCTATGAACAAGTCATGTTCAAATATTTACAAGTAACTATTTAAATTTTAACAACAAGATGTCCATTATTAACAAAAACCCATAAAATTGGTTGGAAATAAAGTTATAACATATATAATTTTTTATTTAGCATAATATTGATAACTTGTCAAAATTGAAAGAACAAGTTGTACAATAAATAGAATAAGTTGAATTTTAAAAATTGATAACTTTTTTTATATATGAACAAGTCATGTTTAAATATTTATGAATAATTGTTTAGGTAAAAACAGCAAGATATCCAAAATATACAATAATTGATGAAAATGGTTTGAATTTAAAGGATTGTTTGAGGTTAAGTAAGTATGGTTTAGATAATTTTTATGTTGTTTAAGGCAATGTGTGGTATGTTATGGGATGATTAGTGATGATTTAAGTATTCAGAGGTTAAATATATGTTTAAGATGTATAATGAGGATTTGTATGACTAAGTTTGATTATTGAAGTATGTGGGAATATGCTAAGAATATGATATTAATTGCCTAACCCTATGATTAGGGTGTGATTAGTGCGTAAGCACTTTTATTAACCATTATTAGTATTATATTATGTGTAAATTGCAGTAGTAACATTGTAGAAGGTGGTAACTCACTTATCTAGGGAAAGTTACTTGCTAGAGGCAAATGTAACATTTACTAATTTGTTATGGTGCTTTTTTTGTGACTGATTGCGTGTATGTTTGGTTGAAACTAAATATTATGTGGAAAATGTTGTGGTTGAAAATATATATATATATATATATTGTTTGGAAAGGTTATAGTCAAATAGGATGAAATTATTTATAATTATGTTCGGTATGAATCATTATATTTGGAAGCAAGTGAATCGTTTGGATATGTTTTCTTGTTTGGATATATTATTCGTATCAAAATGACTATAGGGATTTTGTTCAAATATTACATGCCATATGCTATGCCTTTATTAGACCCAATGAGTGGCTTATAGCTCGGATTTACTCACCTTTAGCTTGGTGAGTTGGATTCTAGGTAAGGTATAAAGAGGAAATAAC